TCATTATGATTTTTATGGGCACTTTGACGCTGCGGCTCCAACGAGTTCTCAGGTGAGTGGCTGCAACAATTTTTGGTGTTTCTTCTGCTGCGCCTACGCAGGCCAGAAGCCCGCCGAAGCTGCACTGCCAGCCAGCCGGTTGGTTGAGTGGGAGGGGAAGGGGGGGGGGGGGGGGGCATGCCACCAAATGGGGAAGTAACAATGCGCCGCGCGGCGGTGGTTTGTTTGAACACCGAAAACCGTTTTTAATGCTCGTTATAATTTCGGTGTGGCTGCCTTTTTTTTTTTTTATTATTTTCTTTGTGCCTGGTGGGATCTGGCATCGAGTCGTTGTACACATCGGCATCGGCATCGGGATCTTTTGGGGTCTCTGTCTCCGTCTGTTGTATACGGGTGATTGCCCTTTTAAGCATGCCCCATGTGCTTTTCGCTTTATATCCTTGGGGCCAATAACGAAACAGTGCTTAGTCTCTGGCCACATCGATAACTGCGTCTTAGTTTGTTGTATTTGGTCAACGACGCTCAAATTAAGTTGCTCGACCTTAATTGGGATCATTAATACGGGCTATCTGTGATGTTTTGAGGTTGGATTCAAATACAACGCCTTGGTTATCAGTGAGGTTGGCGAAAATTTTAGATTTTTATTCTTAAAAGTGCCTGAATAACCCAGGAAAAATATAGCATTTACTTATTTCTTTAAAAATCTTAATGATATAAATTTATCGATAGCGATTTGTATAACTATTCTAGAAGCTACAAGTCAAGTTTCTAGACTCTAGCTCTTAAAAGCTAAGAAATTTGCTCAAGAAAAAGGATTTCGATATCCATTTTATCGACTATCGGGAACAAATTCGTACTGCGCGGATATTAGGAGGATGTTCGTTTAAAACTTCCCTCACTATTATAGGTTATGAGATCTACTCGACAATTGGTGCTGATCAAGAATATATATACTGAATGGAGTTGGAGATGCATCTTTGTTAATTTAAAGTAATCCGATTTATCAAAAATATTGCAACTTGTACATATTGTTATTTAGAATGCAGAGGCTTAATTTGATCAGTGTCTAAAATTGACATCTGTCTTCATATGTTAAGATAATAGTTTTGCGGCCCAAGCTATGTATGATCAACAATTTTTTTAATTTGAACCAAGTTGTTGGTCCAATTCTGGTTTCCGTTCGACGTACATATTATCCTGTGGAATGTGGGGCCTACATTTGGTCGCTATCTAAGATCAGGGCAGGCTTTGCGGCACAAGGTTTTTATGCTTACAAGTTTTCTAATTTAAACCAAGCCGTTGGTTCAATTATGGTTGCGGTTCAGCTTAATAGAAGTAGGAGTCGCGGCTCGAACTGCTTCGGTCCACAGCCGATTTGCAGCCTTGATTTAAGCCCAGTCATTTGTTTATCGTTGCTTTTTATAACTTAACTGTACGGAGCTTGTAATTAAGTAGATCTCATTAAATTGAAAGCACTTGCAGGGCCATCAAATGACATTTGACATGGGATCTTTGCCATCTGACGTCAGCAACGTCAACATAAAAGACGCAATAAAAAACCAAAAGAAAAAAAAGATATTAATTAAACTTGATAAAACACTCTAATTAATTTGTAACCTTCAAAAAGTGTGTTGTTTTTTCTTTTCTTGGGGCAGCTCGTTGTGTTTTATGTCTGACCATAAATTAAAATTCGGACGCAGTTATTCATAAAAAAAACGCATTCTACGAGTGTACGCAAAATAAAAAAAAAAATACGTACATATAAATAACAACAACATTAGGCAAAAGGACCACGCCCCTTTGAGGCAATCCGTTAGCTGCTGCTGCTGCTGCTTGTAATTTACTTTTATGAGCAATAAAATGCGACAGAAAGCGGTCCATTAAAAACTACACAAATCGCATTTAATTTCGAAATTATGAATTGAAATTGGAATTTCAAGGCAGAGACGCTTAATTGAAAGCGTGACATATACCCGCTGTGGGCGTGGCAACACACAGTGGGCAGAATTGTCTGTTTAAAATGCCATTAAATAAAAATAAAAGAAAAGAAAAGAAAAGAAAAGAGAGCGACTCCAGCTGTGCTCTGCTGTGTCGGCAATAAGGAAGCAACTGCAGATAGACCCAAATGCGAGTACATCGTATGCATCGTATGTGGTGGCCACTAAGAAATCGGCAGGCAGACAGTGGACTTGAGTGGCCAGTCATGGCGATGGCGCCCGCCGGCTCACTCAACTGTTTAGCGGAGCCACACGCAAATGCAAATATTACCATAATTATCGCACATGGCCCGCAGACCATGACTAAAGCAATCGCGCGTCCATCGCCGGACAAAGTCGGACAAAGTTGGAGTTGCAGTTGCAATCGGACACGTAGGAGACGTAAATGGAGATGGAGATGGAAACGGAGACGGAGACGGAGACGGGAGTCGAAGTTAGAGCCGTAGCCCCGGCTAGCAGCTGCCCACTTTGAGTCTCGCCCCTCGCTATATTAGAGAACGGCTGAGTTTGAGGCACGCGGCATGCAATCGAAATCTATTACCATGCATTTGCCGACCCGGTGAAGAAAGCGGCTCATTACATGTTTATTATTGTTGTCGTGCATACACTATGCATCAGGCGGGTATATTAGCTAGTTTTGATAGCTAAAAATGGGACAGATATGTAATTATTTAGTTCGTTCAATCAATCAATCAATTGATGGACACTTATGAGTGCAGTTGTTAAAGCTACGTCAGACTCATGTCTGATGTCTCATGTCACAACAATAAGTTATTGCAAATAGAATTTCTCATATTTCTTAGTACATATAATTTTTTGTTGCTATCAATTAATCAATCATTTGATTGACAATATTTACAAAAATTAGGGAATCATCATAAATTAGAAATATCTGTTTCATGAGTTATATATATTTATGTTCGCATACAAATTGAAAGGTATCTGCATTTGTATTTGTATCTGCATCTGTATCTGCATCTGTTGCAGTATCTGTATCTGTAGCTGTATATGTATCCATAGCTGTATCTGTATCTTTAGCTACATCTGTATCTGTAGCTGTATCTTCAGCTGTATCGGTATTTACATTTATCATGGATTTATTTCTGTGTCTTTCTGATACAATATCTTAGGAGAATATCAATAGCAATATCTTTAACTATAGCTCAGTTCTCATTTGCTGCATTCCATATTTAGTTTCACGTGCACATAAAGAGCATCTGCTATTCGACTTGGACTTAAATACTGTCTAGTTGTTATTGTTGTTACCTGGCCAAGTGCGGCACTTGACTTTATTTTGGTTACATGCCATGGGCCATGGCAATTTATTCTCGGTACCCAATAAAAGTCACTTGATTGGAACTGCAAGTGGCCGCTTTTATTGGTTTATTATGGCAACGCGAGAGGGTTCGCGAGATGTTGCGCCACCAGGCCGGGGCCAGACCGAGTCTGGCCAAAAATACATGCCGCCTGCCACCTGGTACCTGCCGCCGCCCAAAAGGCTGCCGCCTCTCCCTGGGCTGGCAATCAAATTTGATGGCCTTGTTGGCTGCTTTGGTCGTTGGCAGGCGGTCCAGCATAATGGTGGAATTTCTGCACTGTGTGCGCCACAACTCTCGACACTCAATCAGCATCGGCAATGCAGCAAATGCTGCCTCATAAGTCAAAAGAATGTCGTTTAGCTTGAATGCTGCAGTGGCTGCCATTGCCACAGCCACTGCTCAAGTGTCGCCACTGGATCTGGCTCGGCAGCTGCCTCTGGCACATCCTTCTCGACTGGCGCCTATCTGAGCGCTCGCATCTGACTGTCGTATGAGTTATGGGCCAGGGCCAGGACCCACCAGGCCAGCCAGGCCAATATGATAATAATTTTATGTGCTCGTAAAAGCATTAAAAATTCCAACAACAACAACAAGAACAACAACAGCGACTAAAACATATACACAAAAATGGTCAAGAGATGAGGCCAACGATTGGCCTCACTCGACCGCTGCTCAATTTGAGTGCCACAGTTTTTCTTTTATTGTTGCCACTTTTTTGTACAGCAATTGGCCAATTGGAAAATGCCTACTTATGACATTTACAGCTCGCTCGTGAGCGGTAACCGAGCCATAAAACCGAAAACGTTACCAATATGCTGGCAAAAATATAAAAAATAAAAAAAAAACTTATCTGATGATGATCTTCAGCAGATGCCGACTGCTAAGTGGGTTTGAACCATTCGACGTGGGGTGCCCGGTTTTACGACTACCGAAATTGAGCTGTAGAAACGTTTTAATTGACTCTCATCCATTTGCTGCATGGGTCATAAAACAATAAAGCAACGGGACAAAAAGATATAAATGAATATAGATGTAAACTGAAGAGGCTAACATGCACAAATGTACACCTATGAAAATGTTAGATTTTAGAAAGATATATATGAATTGTGGGAAATATAACACTGTCAGATGAAGCTAGGTATTATATCCATGGATAACTCTGCCGAATTGAAATTTTAGTTAACATTTATGAGAGAGGCCTGTTTAATATAATAGATATGAGTTAAGAAATAATAATAGAGAAGAATATATGTGCATATGATTGGCGATCTATGTATCAATCAAACCGCGATATCTAGTAGGTTTAGGTATAAAACTGTTTTATGTACCAAGTCATCAGTGGATATTGTATTATACCCAACGCAGACCAAGCTTACTTTACTTTTTTGGATTTATGCATGTATTTACATATTTATGCATGTTTGTATTTATGTATTTATGTACACTTGTGTGTACATATATATATAATCTCTCTTACGAAATGAAGTTCAATTTTTGATAAGTCCCACTGTAGAGCTGTAAATCCAAAGTAAAATAAGCGCATGTCTAGAGATTACCCTTCTATGCGATTCTCACGAGCTTAAATGAAACGTACAGGCTTTTATGCCACAAACAACATCTCATATTTGCACGCTCACCCTATATCTTTCACTCTCTAAGCTCTCTACTTCTTTTCTTCTTTCAGTGAAACATACAGTATTGTAGAAAAAGTCTACCAATAGAAGACAATTAGAGATTCCTGCTTGTGCATTTTTGGGTAAGTACTTATTTAAAAAACATTTTTCATTTATATATATAAATAAGAATAAGAACTTAGTAATTTGAGATGTGGGCTAGGGATTTCTATAGGGATATATTTTGTCCTTTATACAAACTAAAAGTTCCTCCCTCTTAAGATATCTAATTATTAGTGTTGCAATCTCAGCTTCTGATAACTCTCAAGCTGAAGAAACATGAAATAATGTCCAGCAAGAGCCTGAACTCGAGCAGAAGAATATGACACACTATTTTACTTAGCACCCCCCAGTTCCCTTTATTTATATGACAATCCCACATGGTCGAGAAAAATCAACCCTGGGAACAACGCCAAATGATGCGTATCCAATAAATATGTAAAAAAGAAAACAAAAACCAAAAACGAAAACAAAAAAAAATGTAAATGTTAAAATGTTCCATTTTACAGCTCAACCCCTCGGAACAGCTCCGAAAGCGAGCTGCTTCGCTTCACAGTGTAATTTGGGGCACATTCAGAGCAAATATTCATTTCGCTTTTTGTGGTTACTTGAATAAGGGAAATGGGGAAATTGTGTTTTTACGATGATATGCCGTGCATTACACGGCATTTGAAGCATTTTGAGCTTCATGGGTAAGTTTTTCGTTATATTTCTGCGCTCTGGGAAACAATGGGGCATAGGCGACATTTCGAACTTCTTTTGCACGCAATTGACTATCAAAATTTTATGTTGGCTTTATTTGTTTGCCGTCTAACCGAAGCAACAACAGCAATGACAGCAACAGCTTCGTCAGAGGGAAAGCGCCATGGCTAATGGCAGCTGGGAGAGCGACATCAAATCCAATTTTATAATGCATATAAAGTTTTAACATGCCCCAGCAAAAAGGAAATGTCGAGCGGTTGGGGCACTGCGAGAAAATTTTATGCACACACTTTTATAGAAATTTTAGTAGCCTATCAAATTTTACGCGCTACCAACAAAAAACTTGTGCATAAAATTTTACTTCTCGGTGAGTCAGGCTTCGGGATCAAGAACAGGACAACAGCCGGCTGGGGCAGCAGGAACTAATACTTCCCCTGAAAGCAAAATAAAAATAAATAAAATCATTTACCGGGCAGAGCACTTAAAATTAACGTGAAATTAGCTTGTTGACTTAACCCTATTGAACGGAAATGAGCCCGAACACAAACGGGACATGCACAGGACACGCTGCCAGTGCTGCAACAAGACACAAGAGGGGGCAGGGGGTAAGGCAGCCACAGCCATAAAATGCGGAAACAGGATATCAACACATGAGGCTGACGGGGCACATGCTAGCGCCAACATTTTCTTATATGTGCGCACACATATAGCCAAACACCTCGGACCATTTACATAAAACTAAACCCAGAGCAACAATACCCACACACACACACACAGATACAGACACAAGTTGTAGCCAAATCATTTGTGAAGTCTATTAGCAGCGGAGCTAACCAAACTGCACAGCGCCTGCGCACAGTGGGGCAAGGGCAGCGACATATGAAGCAAAAGTATACGGAATAGAATTTTGAGTGAGGTGGTCAAAGAAAGCTAAAGCAATTATTTAGTTAATCAACAGAAATTTAATGCTGAAGTTAAGATATTATAGATCTTAGCCCAAAGAAACTATTCTCAGCCGGATTCAGATTCAGTCCATGTCTGCCTCAATAATTAATTATTGAATAGATAAACTGAATAAATTTCTACCTAAATTCCTTGAAGATTATAGCATATAAACATAGCTGAAATCCCTTAAGAACATGAATATTCATTGAACTTAGTTTTATGTTGCTGTCATGTATCTGATTTCCACATTTATTTCAATTTAGTCTAAGTCTGTTTTTACACTACATTTTATTTATACCCATTGCTTCAGTGTGCCAGCCGGAAATAGCTAACCACCCACTACTGTAAACTTTGACGGAGTAATGCACGTTAGCATCGGGCATTAGCATTAGCATTGACACTTAAGCGTGTATTGTGAATTAGCCACAGACTGCTTTAATGACAGTTGGCGACAAAACGCTTACGTTACCATTTGAATGGCCAATAGAGAGCACAACCAGAATCCGTTCCCTACCCAACCCAACCCCAAGGCGAACAAACATATTGTGTAAATGGTTTGAGCCCCAGAAGGGTTATTAATAAATTAAATTTTCATGTTGCCCGGGCGCATGCTTATGCATGAAGCCCAGACCCAGAGCTTGAGCTTGAGCATAAAATACACACAAGTGGCATGTAAATGTAATTCAATACTTTAAAATTGCTTATTAGAACTCGGCAACTGGCAACTGCACCCCAGAAAAGCAAATAAGTTCGAGGGGGTGGAGAGGGTGGCGTATGCGCAATTTTAACGAGCACTTCCAGCTAATTTTCTGGCCTGTTTGTAATAAACTTAAGGCAAGGGTTTATTGGGTCGGAGCAGGACTGTTTTTACCTTGGCATCGTTTGTGCTTAAGCCCTAACCAGCGGCAATTTCGAGGTCCAATAAAATAGGTATTTCTATGGTGCCAGGTAATTGCCGAAAATAAAAATAATCAACAGTCCAACAGGCCCAGCCAATTTTAGCCAGAGACATTGAACTTGTTGGCACAGTAGCTACACGTGTGCAATGTCTCGACTTGGCCTGGCTTCAACATAATTTAATTAAAATTCGACAATGATAAACGCAGAAGATACATTAAAAACCTAAGCTTAATAATGAGCTGCCACGCACCGGTGCGAGCGAGACAGCTGACCGAGGGTCTTCAACATTTATTTTCTTGATACCCTTTCAAAATTCTAGAACAGGGTATGCCTATTGTGTGTAAATGTATTTTAATGGGCAGAAGAAAGCACCTGCCCTGCCTGGCAACCAAAGGCGACTTGATCTAGCCATGACCGTCTGTTCAAATGTCTGTCTGGGCGAACGAATGGATCTCAGAGATTGTAAAGCTAGATACCTTAAATTGAAATTGGATCCCTGGAGGCTACAATTTTCTATAACCGATAAAAATCGATAAGAACCTCCCGATTTTCAAGCACATCTCGAGGATTATAATAGCTATAGACACCATATTTGGTATGTGTGCTCAGTAACATAAGATTTGAATTATGCAGATATTTTGTTAAGATCAGAAAACAAGCACCCAAGTTACAGAAGAAAGCTTTTCCCCAAAATCGCTTAAAAATGCGCGGATTACAGGGTATCTGCCTGAGGGTTACTGCCCACTAGAGTGATCTTACGCGTGTGTGTTTATGAAGTGTGTGTTGCAAAAGTGTTTGCTTTCTGTACTTGACTTGATTTCGGTAATAGCCGCGTCTTTTGTCTCCGCCCGGTGTCCGCAGCGATATGCGACGTGCGATGTGACTTGAACCACGCACACGGGCTACTTAAAGCGCTTCAGTTTCGGTCATTTGAAGTTTATTACCCGCGCACGTGTGAACCGAAAATACCAAAACGTACAAAATGTTTACAATGAAACCAAACCGGAAATCGCCGAAACAGCAAGCGAAAAAAAGAAAAAACCCCAGAGAAGACAAGTCCAAGCCATGATATCTATGCAGGTAGTCACCGAAGCAGACACCAACATTCAGGCAGCCCCAGTGCCCAGTCGAACGCGTTAGAAGCCTCGACTGCGGCAATGAAGACGTCTAAATGCGAAATTAAATATGACATTTTAGAGAAATTAAGTGGCCCATGTTGGACATGCTTTTAAATGGCCAAGATCGCAGACAACGCACTCGAGATACCACGCCGCGCGATGTTCGCATCGTCGGTCGAAGGGTCGGTCTAGCATCAGGTTGCCAACTAGGTGGCTAATGGACTGAAAGCGTAATACGGTAGCCGAGTACTTGGGAAAGCCACATACTTACACAATCCACACCGAAGTAGGGCAACTGTAATAAAAATTCATAAACTCAACGAGAGACTAACTAGCCACAAGTTAGTAGGACAACCAAATATGCACGAAATACGTTTAAGACTAAAAAGAAGATGAACTAAAGTCAAATTAAGCATAATTTAGAGTAAGTAAGAAATAATTAAAAGGCATTTAATGAGGCAATACTTGGATTAATTAGTCTCCAAAAAATAATTTACTTGAATTGTTAAATGTGCTAAAAAAATATGGAAAGCTGTTTAGAATAGATTCCTGTTTCCAGCTTTAATTTTATAGAAAAAGTGCTTTTAATTTGAGTGAAAATTTCAAATTGTTGAATATTAAATACATAAAAATAGTTAAATTCATGGTTGTAAATGGAATATCAGGTAAGACTCATGGAAAAGCAAAAAGGTCTATATTTAAATACCTTTTTGGAAATGACTTCCCATGTGATTGCCATTTGAATTTCAAATTATATGTAGCTATTGGCTTATTTTCCCACAATTTGAAGATAAGTTGAAAAAATTGCGTATACTTAACGAACGCGTATCGCACACTCTGCACATAAGATCGTATTGCCCACAACCAATTCGAATTTGATTGTTTGTATTGACAATTTGCCTTCGGGGGGGCTTTTTGCTTTCGCTCTCGCATTTACCTCATTCATGAATTTTGTAGATTTTTAGCCAAAGATAATTTTTGCGAAAAAATAAAACACAGGCCGTGGGCCAACAAAATGTTCATTCAAAACACGTACATACTTCACAGCCGAACAACAAATGCAAAGCGACAACAACAACAACAACAACGATGGGACAAAACAAACGTGGATACCCACGCAGGGTTCAAGGGAGGGACGGGCGCGTGGACGGACGGACGGACGGACGGACGGAGTCTGCCACTGCGAGTGGTGTGAAGTGCAAACAGACGAACGAACGCGACAACAACTACAACAACAACGGCGATGGCCACAATGGAGTTCAATATTATCGACTGTGTAACAACAATCGCCAGCAACAACAAAAACCTCGACAACTACAACAACAACAAATGCGGCTGCTTCATTCATGAAATGCTCGTGCGAAAACAACAATAAATCCAACAACAACAACAACAACAAAACGAAAGCTCTTAACGAGAATGCCCGACTGAAAGATACGCTGCAGCCAATGCCAAGCTGCCGTTACAAGCACACCAGCTCCTTTTTATGTGTATACACATACATTCATCAAAACGCACACACACACAAACACGAGCATCGCTTACTATACAGTTCACGTTACGACTTTGCTTCTTCTTACCTCAGCTTCCCACAGTACAGAAAATGTGCCTTCAGTAACTTCGGTACTTCTTGTCCGATCTTGATGAAAATTTTGGAGCATAAATATGGCATCGAAAGGTGCGTAAATATCAAAGCCAAAGAGTATGCGTTCAAAAATGCGTGTTCTTTCAAATTTTAAAGAAAAACGCTAAACGTATCCAAAAACTGAACAAGTCTGCATCCCAAATATGGCACCTAAAGCATCTATAAGCTCTGATATATATCAAAAAACCCCAACTGAAAATCGATAATTATCGAATTTGGTTGAAATCCTCGAGATCTTTAAGTTTACACAGAGTAATAAATTAGCTAAAATAGTTAAATCGACAAAGCTTGCCTTACAGTTAAAGAATATGTGTACTTTATGGGTTCGGAATTGTTTCCCTCTGCCTGCTACATACGTTTGCACAAGTCCATCATACCCTTTTTAAGCACTTTCAATGAGGTCAGGGTACGAAAACAACTTGCAGATTTGTAAGTTTTATAACGTGTTCAATTATTTGGGTTAGTTTAAGTGGTCACAACGGCAACAACATTGTATTTGCAGTGCATTCAATGAAAGCATAAAGAAATTCTTATCGAGTATCTGTGTATCTACGTATCTGCGTATCTGTGAGATATGCCTGTGCTGGTCCGATCAATGGGGTCTTTGACTCAGGCCAGATCTGCGCCAGACATGACTTGCTCACCTAAAACACGCCGGCATTGGCGACTCAATTTTGATTAGTCATCGTATTTGTAGCTCCTTTTAGCCCTTGTTGTTGTTATTGTTTGGTTAATCGTATCTAAATATTTTTGTGTATTTATCTCACGTTGTTGGCCACTTATCGTCGGTTCGGCCGGCTCCGGTTCGAGAAATCACGAACTTCGTGGCGCATACAAAAAGGGAAATTCATTTTTTTTTGGGACAACACAGAACAACAATAAAAACAACAACAACAACAATCACAGCAAACCAGTTGCCTGATTAAAAGGTGAATGAATTCGCAAAACCGCGAATCGCATTCAAAAGTTAAACGAACAACAACGTCAGTTACCATTTTTCATGCTAAATACCCTAAGTAAATGTTTCGATAAATTTTTATAAACAGCACATGAAAGCCAAAGCCAAAAAGGCTTAAGTAAAAATAATTTTATTAAATATTTTAATAGTAAATAATAACAAACGATTTTTTGGGTATAACAAAAATATTTGTAAAATATTCAAAAAAGATAATCAAAAATGTTCTGTCTGTAAAGTGAAAAGAATTAAATATATACAAATTTAAAAAAGTGCCTTTATAATAATAAAGCTAAAATTAATTTTTTTAAATTTAAATATAGAAAAAATTAAATAAAAATTTTACCAAAAAATAAAAAGTAAAATAAATATATGTACTAAAATGGGATACAGAAAAAAAAAGTGTAAATATTCAAAAGAGGATAACCCAAACAATTTCTGTCTGTAAAGTAAAAAGAATTAAATAAACACAAATTAAGTAAAGACTTGCATAAAAATAAATTTAAAAATAAATAAATGGAAACCTAAGACATTTTGTGATTAATTAAAATAAATATAACTACAGATAGCTTTTGTCAAATTAATAACATGAACTAAATGCAAATGCTTTATACCAAAACTAAAATCTCTCTTAAAATAAAAGTTGGACTTAAGACAAGCTCAGTTCTCAGTAAACCATTTGGCATGGATACTTTTGCCAGCTTTATAGAGTATTTCCGGCGCGTTTAATAAACATATTTTGTTTTGTGTTTTGGTTGTTGTTCATTATGATTAATATGAAAGTTGCTTAACAGCCGTGGCGAATGTCAATGCATGCATCCATCAGATACAAATGCCCGGCGCATATATTTTGGGCATTTAACGAGCATGCGCTTGCCCTCTCGCTCATGACGTCAATTGTTATTGTTTAGTATGGCTTTAAAAATTCATTTGATATGTACTTATTTGGAAGCCACATAAACCAGCTTACTAATGAGCATTGCAAACACAACAACAACAATAACAACAACAGCAACAACAACGGCCAGAACAAGAGCTACAGTGACAACAAACGGTAACAAAAATCCCAACACACAAAACTCTAATGGAAATTTACCCACTTGGCACGTTTATTTTTTTTTTGTGTTGTGCACTCGATCGTTTTGTATTTATTTTATATTTTTATTTTATTTATTTTATATTTGTTTCTTTTTGTTGTTGTTTTTGTTTGTTTGTGTAGTTTTCCTTCAAGTGTATCAATTTGCTTAGGCCATGGCCTTCGCAGCACTTAGAGAACTTGCAACTGCATTTGTATCTGAATCTGTAAACAAGTATCTGTATCTGTGTATGTATCTGTATCTTTACAAAGTAATCTGTATCTGTGTCTGGGTGTGTATTTGTATACAGATACAAATGTATCTCTATCTGTATCTGCATAAGTATCTGTGGCTGCATCTGTATCTGTATCTGTATGCCTCCATCTGTAACAGTGTGCGTATGGGCTATTCATTTCGCATGAATGAAACCATTTCTGGAATATTTTCGTTGCATGGAAAGATTTACAAAAGTTTCCATTACAATTTGTAAACAAACTCCAAAGGGACGGCCCAGACACTGGCACTGGCACTGGCACAGTAAAAGAGAGGCAAACAATTCAACAAGTGCCAGCTGCTTGACTCTGGGGGTCAATAAGCAGCCGCCGGCTGCATATATACTACATGCCATATAAAACGCAATAACAACAATGATATGTCCGTGCACGAGACTGGCCAGTGATAATCCCCCCCACATCACACCCAGAGACAAACGGAGAGGGCGGGCGAGCCGCAGCGTTTGGCTCTGTCTCTGGCGCTGGCTCTGGCAAAGGTAAAGTCAAAGTCAGCGCAACGACTGATTATCGATTTAATTAGTTATGCGTCGAATGCAATGCTAGTGACATAAGCACATCAGATTAACCCACTTGGATGGAGTGAGTGGATGATGTGTATGCGCGTGGAAAACAACTCGAATAGCTCAGCTCTGCAGATTTTAAGATTGAATTAACTTCAAAGACTGATTGCAATTTATTTAAAATTTTAATTTAATTAAATTGAGCGTTAGTTGCGATTAGAATGATCATGATTATTATTATTATAAGTAATATAGTTATTATTATTATAATTATTATTATTATTATTATTATTATTATTATTATTATTATTATTATTATTATTATTATTATTATTATTATTATTATTATTATTATTATTATTATTATTTTTATTATTATTATTATTATTATTATTAGTATTATTATTAGTAATATAATTATTATTATTATCATTATGATTACAATTATTATATGTTTTATTATCATTATCATTTTTTTACTATTATTTTAAATATTATTGTTAAAAAGGCATATTTTCCATTATTGGACTTTATTTATCTATTTATGGTGAATAAAAATAGATGCTCAAATACAAGCAAAAAAAAAAGCAATTTCTTTTGTTGACCAAACTATTTTCCTCTTTTTACAGGATAATGGAGAGTTCTTCAACAAGGAGTTTCCTGTAAAAAGTGGTGAGTGCAAAAAAAAATATTTCATAACTCTTAATTGTGCACATATAAGGGTAATTTTCCAAATTTTTATTATATAGTTATAGGGATGGGAAATGACCCATGCATAATAGGATATTTAGGGGTACCATGTTCACATGAATTTTGACCAAGAATAACGTGTCCAGATTTAGATGCCAAAATGATCTACATGCCAAGCCATGAAGAAGAAGCCTAGCTTTATGAAAATCGTTTGAGATTTGACCAAGTTATTGGGGTGGGAAAATTTGACCCATGTCTTCTATACAGGATATTTGAGCATTTCATTTTTACATGAATTTCGACCAAGAATCATGTTGCCAGATTTAGATGCCAAATTCATCTAGAGGCTAAACCATGAAGAAAAAGCTAAAGCTCCTGAATATCTGATGGGATTTGGCGGAGTTATGGGGGTGGGAAATTTTGACATATGTCTATATAGGATATTTAAGGGTACCATTTTCACATGAACTTTGACCAAAAATAATTTTGCCCTCATCAATTTTAAAAGTTATTCACATCTAATCTATGGACTTTCACGAGTCCAAATGGGACACGCCTTGCCCAGATCGGAATTCATTCAACCGATCTATTCACATTTAAAATTCTTGAAAAATATAACACGAATATGTTGACTAAATACAGATTAGATCTTCGAATAACACACCCAAACTATAAAGATTTTTTCTGCAGCTCTGTCGAACAGTTAAAAACTTCTCAATGAATTATATGCCTTATATCCAAAGTTTCTACAGCAAGTATCCTAATATGCCATACCCTGTAGTTCAGCTACTTTGGTTATATTTTTAATGGCATTTTTGGTGACCACCCAAAGATCAGAGTTTCCCACGTTAAGCGTATGCTTTAGGGGTTACACACACACACATTACTTGAGTTTAGCTATAAATACCAGAGTCATCACCTTGACGTGCCCAGATTTGGTGGACATCGGCGCGTCGAATCTGACTGCAAGTCGACGTCTACATCCACAGCGAAGTGCACATCGAAGTCCAAGTCCAAGTCCATTGTCCAATGCCATTTTTAGTTCACAAATTTGCGCACGCGCAATGCCAACCCAAATACCAGAGGCAAAATACTCGTATTCCAGTAACGCATCGCACTGGCAATAGGCTTACAACTTGCGGTACTAAAACGCAGTTCCAAGAATCATCAGAGACAACAACAACAACAACAACGACAACAACATTGGCCGCCCGCTCATTGGCATTTTTTAGCGTTGCGAAATATGAAGGAATGCAGTCGAAGTCGTAAACGAAGTGGAAGAATCGCCTCTCGGTCCCAGTCCAAGTCCCAGTCCCAGTGAATGCCGCACTGTAATCGAACTGTCAGTTGTGGAAGAGAGCAGCTCAGCCTGGCAGGTTGCCTCGGATAGCATCTTTGATCGTCGCTGAATCTTGGAGAGTGCAAACAGCGACTGCATTGCACTGGAATTTCGTTTTGTTTACTTGCATACCATACCCTACCCCATACCCTATACCCATGCCCATGCCCGTGCCCATACCCTACTCGAACTCTGTCTCGTTTGGTTTTTGTGTGCGCGAAATTGTTGTCATTCTGTTGTGCAGGTCTTTGTGCTCGATTCTGTTCCATTCCTTGGTTCTTTATGGCTTGCTGCATCATTCGCTGAGTGACTGGAACTAAAACATGGAACTGCCACGTTTTTACGCGCCGTCAAGAGCTCTGCAGCTCTTGCAGCTCTTGCAGCTCCCCTCGCGCTTTAGTGCTTTTTAATGACTTCTTGCGTGCCACATGCATCGGGAATGCATAACCGAATGCAGGCAAACGGAGTCATCAACAGCAAACGAATGCAAAGTGGAGCTGTGTTTCGCATTGGTTGCTGCCAACGAGAGAGAGAGAGAGAGAGAAGGAGTGAGAGCAGCTCTTTGCATACTTCTTGAGTTTCCGAGTTATTTGGAATTTACTTTTACGCTTCTAGAGGGTATTCTAATTTTGTCATTAAATGTGTAATGAGTAGAGAGAGATCTCTTATAGAAAATATATTCTTGATCATTATAAATTGGCGAGACAATATAACCAGCAGGAAGTACATATGATGAAATCGGGCGAATTGTAGGAGCGATTTTGTATGATAAACTTATTTGATTTCCTGAATATTTCGATCCAATTTGGAATTTACGAGATTTTTATAAACGAAATCTCACTACTATTACAGATAGCTCTATATCTTGACTAAAATCGGCATTTACTAGCTATCTCTAGTACTGTTGAATAGAGCTACTATAGGAATAATCGAATGGGTTCCTTTTATTATCCCGATTGGATTAAGCATTTATTAGTTCCGATATGTTTCTTACAAATGAGCAAAGTTGTATCAAACTCTCATCAATTTACCATATTGCTTAATAGGAACATTCGGTCAAACATCTTTTTAATTATTCCCCTCATATCCGCAAACCCATCTAGAAGGGCATCTGATGTGCGGCTTTCATGTTTGCACGCTCTTGTTTTATTTAAATTGAATAAGAATGGGCCAAAAAGTTTGCTCTGCAGCACGCCAAATTGCTATACACTTTATGTCTATGTATATACAAAAAAAGAAATATAAATTAACTTCCTTGATGGCATACTAAGCGTTTCGGTTTGTTCCATTCTTAATAATGTTGTTGTACACAAATCCTGAAGTCCCGCATTCACTCGCATTCACGAGCTGTTGACATGGCGTGACTAAACGCCGGAGGAGACTGTAATATAAGTAGATGCTTGTGGCATAAAGTGATGGGCTTTAAGGGTCGCCAATCTCTCGAGTATTCGGCAAGACTAAAGGGATTTTCGAGAGAGTGCTGCCTGTCCAATTCACAGTTAAATTAAGGTCTCGAGCTATAGTCAAGTAAACTCAATAAGAAAGTCAGAGTGATTCGATTTGTGTTTGTATTTCTTTCTATTTTGGTTTCTTCTCCAATTTCTAGAGCTGGCTGCTAATCAAAAGGTTTCAACTAGCAAACAAATAGAGCTCGATGCCTGGATTCCTGCCTGGTTGCCTGCCTCCTTGCTGCCAGCCCCTCGGTGTCAGCCTTGGAGTGCCTGATTGTTTCAAATAGTTTCAACCGCTTTCGGTCCACTTGAGATGTCAGTCCTTTTTAAGAGCTGTTCGCTCTCTGCTCGCTGCTGCCACCTTTCGGATTGAGCTGAGTGCCAGGGAGGACAAAAGTTGCCGTTTGCCATGGCCGTTGCCGTTGCCGTTCAACCTCTGGGGGCATGCCACATTTTGCCATTTGCTATTTGGTACGAGCATGTCTTCATTTTGTTTGGCCAAAATCAGTTGGGCGATGGCGCGTGGACGGCAGATGCAGCGGTTGAATCTGATGCCTCAGTTTCGAACTACGACATAATGCACACGAAATTTTCAGCTGGCATGTGGCATGTGGCATGCGGCATGTGGCATGTGGCACTGACAATGCCAGTCGCAGTGCTCGCTGCACGCGCGTCAACTTGTGTCAAAAACCAACCAAGTGCCATTTTGCGGTAGTTGTGGCAATGGCCGTGGCCAACAGCAACAGCAGCCACGACAACAGCAGCAAAAGCAGCAGAAACAGCAGCAACAGCAACAGTTATGCAGCAAATGCACCTTGGTTCTATTCCAATTATTTGCACAGATTCCAGACTAGAATCCACAAGATGATAATACTCTGTGCCTTCTGAAAAGGTTTGAATAATTTATAGGCTAATGTAAGGCCATATCCGTCCCTCATTCTGTCTATATACTTTTGTTCTATGTATATATGTATATTTATATATTGCAAAATTGAATGAAGCAGTTCAAGTTTATTTCAAATGATCGATAACTACTCCCAATTTCCTGCAATCGATAAAATATCGAAATACGAATATCGATGTCTACTTATTTTCATTTATTTAAAGACCATTTCATTAGCTCTTTTATCGATCATTTCTATCATTAATATCGTTTTAGATTTGTGTAAGTAAAATGTATTATCTCTAGCTCTGACATAAATCAAATGTTTCAAAATATATTCCGATCTACATAGATCCAAAATATTTCATTTTTGGTATACTTCCTTTAGATAAAAGCAAGTATATTTTGTAATCTAATGTCTCCATTATTCTTGCCCATCTTGCGCTGTTTGGAAGCAGAGTGCAATGCCTTGGGCGAACCGCAGTGCACTGCAAATAGGCGGCCGCTACCCCAGGGCTGCCATGCGCCCAGTTCCCTGCTGTTGGCTGCCCTACCCCACTCCACCCCTGGCCCGTGCTCGCACAAGCTGAACTTTGTCGTGGTTGTAGCGGAAAACGTGGCCACCCACGTGGCTGCCACCTCTGTTGCAGCACTTGCTACTGCTGCCCGTCGACCCGTCAAGCGTTTTGATTGAAATGTGTTTGTTTGGCTGCGGCTTTGGTTGTTTTCCTCTCACACCTTCCCCTCACCCCTCACTCTACGGCATTCCAGCCCCGCACACATCAAATTCGAAATAAAAAAAAAAAATTACAGAAAACCAAATGGGAAAACAACCGACAATAAATGCGAGAGGAAGCAAGAATTTTGTGCGAAACAAACGTTGGAAAATCCAACATGACCGGCAACACCATAACCCACCAGCCCACCACCCAATCCACAGCTAAATGCGGTGGGCAATCGCTTTGGCCTGAACACAATATGGCATCGGACACGGACACGAGCAAGCGCTGGGAGGAGTCTGTATGAATCCTAGGGACGCCAGGGACTGCTGGGGCGGGGCTGTTGGCAGCATTGTTGACGTTTTGAAGCATTTAGTGGTGCATCCACGTGGCAAGCAGCCACATATTTCTCTACATATTTCCATATAATGCGATACTCTTCCGTTTCTTTGCCGTAATACTCTTAAGACTACTAGAAATGTATCGACTGTTTAAATTTTGATTCGAATTTAACTTTCTTAGAGCATGCATAGCTAGTAAGTTCTCGTCTACTTCTCAAATTAAAGCTGAAGACACTCAAGTTCCCAAAAA